TGCCAATGTTTTACTCCCTGGCCCTTTGTGACAGGCTCCTTTACTTGTTACTATAACATTGAAAGTACATGTGTCAGCATCAATCTGTCAAGCCCTGTCCCCCCCCCCCCCTCTCTCTCTCTCTCTCTCTCTCTCTCTCTCTCTCTCTCTCTCTCTCTCTCTCTCTCTCTCTCTCTCTCTCTCTCTCTCTCTCTCTTCTCTCTCTCTCCTTCCCCTCCCTCCCTCTCTCCCTCTCTCCCTCCCTCTCTCCCTCTCTCCCTCTCTCCCTCCCTCCCTCCCTCCCTCTCTCCCTCCCTCCCTCCCTCCCTCCCTCCCTCCCTCCTCTCTCTCTCTCTCTCTCTCTCTCTCTCTCTCTCTCTCTCTCTCTCTCTCTCTCTCTCTCTCTCTCTCTCTCTCTCTCTCTCTCTCTCTCTCTCTCCTCTCTCTCCTCTCTCTCCTCCCTCTCCTCCCTCTCCTCCCTCTCCCTCCCTCCCTCCTCCCCCCCCTTCTTCCTACCTTCACTCCCTCACTCCCTCCCTTCTTCCTACCTTCCCTCCCTCCCTCTCATAAATGGGTTTGAAAAGTTTGAAGATGGCATGTGTCTGTTGTGGCATCCATTTCCCTCTTTCTGTGTATGGATTTTTTGTTGCTTTTGAGTATTTCATTACACCTTCTCACTCCATTGATGACTTGGAAACTGGAAGAAAGAATGGCTTTGATTGGTTGATTGTACATTGTAATATGAATATATATATATATATATATATATATATATATATATATATATATATATATATATATATATATATATATATATATATATATATATATATATATGAATATGTACTAATTTGTATATTATTTTATTATTTAAGATTCTTAAACACTACTCCTGCATGATCCTGTAGTCAGACCACTGTAGTGTGAAATCCAACAGTAATCATTGATTTAATTTGTATTAAGAAATTGTTTGGAGGGGAATGAAAATGATACACTGATTGAGAGAGGGTGAGAGTATATGTGAGTATGAGTGTATTGTGTTTGTGAAGCATGTGAGTGAGTGTCTGTCTGTCTCTATATCTGTCAGTCTGTCTGTGTGTATGTATGTTTGTGTGTCCGTATATCAATCATTCTTTGTGTTAGTTGATATGAAGGTGTGAGTAAGTGAATAAGTGAGTGTGTGGATGCATGAGTGAGTGGGTGAGTGAGTGAGTGGGTGAGTAAGTGAGTAAGTGGTTGGGTGGGTGGGTGAGTGAGTGAGTGAGTGAGTGGTTGGGTGGGTGGGTGAGTGAGTGAGTGAGTGAGTGAGTGAGTGATTGAGTGAGGAAGTGAGTGAGTGGGTGAGTGAGTGGGTGAGTGAGGGATTTAGTAAGTGATTGAGTGGAGATTAAGTGGAGAGAGAGAGAGAGAGAGAGAGAGAGAGAGAGAGAGAGAGAGAGAGAGAGAGAGAGAGAGAGAGAGAGAGAGAGAGAGAGAGAGAGAGAGAGAGAGAATATGAGAGAATGAGAATAGGATAAAAATGGAATAGAGTAAGGTGTGAGGGAAAGGGGAAGAAAATAGAAACCAAAGGGAAAAAGAAGAGAGGCTATAAGAGAAATACGGGGGACTGAACAGTGTCTAATATATCTTAAATCATATCCATATGTTAGTCTAGTCTGGGATTCTGTAGATATAAATTAACACTATAATATTTAAAAGTATTTTTGATGTCTTTTGTCTGAGTTCTTCATTGGATTTTTTTTAACCTAGTGTGCTTAGATTCGTTCTAACCTCAATTTTAGGTTCAAGTAGCTTTTACAGAAATCATGATTGTGTGACATGTATGGGGAGGTAGCAACAATAGGAACATGAGAAAAAGAGGAACTGATAAATACATAGAAAGTATGGATCAGATTAAAATGAAACATAGCCACAATAAGAAAAAGCAAGCAAACAAATATTTCATTCCATCTTTGTTCAGGATGGGTTTATATTTTGTTAGCCTGTGAAGTGTAGAGTGGTTCACTATTATGTTTTATAAAGCATACATTTTTGAAATAGGGATATTAATCCATTTTAGTTTTGTTTTCTGCATTGTCATGACACATAGATGGCTCCACAGATGCTCAGTCATTAGGGAATCAATTAGTAGGCCTATGTGACCTCACCTGATTTCTCCTTTCCTTCAGTTTTCAGAAGAAAAAAAACTCCTAATAATTTTAATGCTGATACTGTTATTTTTGTTATTATTGTCATTATGATTATTATTATTCTATTAATAATACTAAAATCAATAAAAAAAAAAAATAAAAAATAAAGGGTAAACAGGTAAGATAGGTAAGACTAGCAGTTGACACCTTGGTGACTAAGCACTTGTGGAACCATGTATGTGTAAACACAATTACTAAACTAAGCTCACATTGGACGTGGCATATATGCATATGCCATCCCTGTTGAAAGTAGGATAAAACTTGAGTTGGTTTATCCTAGTGGGCTTGTGAATGCTAAGCTTCATATAGATATATTACACATACTAGCATCATCATAGTTTAAATGACAAGATTGAATTTTGGTGTGAGTTGAATAATATGCCAAACTTTTGTTATAACTTCATTACAAACTTACATTATCTCCCGAAGTATGAGGAGTGTTAGCCTATTGTGATAGTGCCCTAAGGGAAACTAATGTTTTTCAGTGTTGGTGTAACTAATAATTCTTTATGATAAAGATATATTTTTCAAAGGTATCTAAATAATACAGTAATGATGGTATACTCTTCTAGCTGAGGGCACTTGATGCATGAATTTGCAGGATTAATATTTATATTTATCTGCCTTATAAAAATCTAGTGGAGACATATATTATTTTGTATAGGACATTAGACGTTTTTGACTTCTCCCAAATAACTGTGATTGGTAGTAGTACATTATTAACAATTGTTTGGTGTGCATTCTGTGCAGTGATTAAACTTTCTTAAGATGGATTTTCTTGTAATACTTGAAAGGATGTGACAATTTTTAGTTAACCCACTAGTGACGGTTTCTTTGGAGTGCTGTACACCCTACTTTCTGGGTGGTATCTATAGTGTTGTGTGGCTGCTGCCAGGGACCCCAGTGTGTGCCACCCACTGAGGGCTACCAACATATAATCAGGACAGAAGGTCCTACTACTCTGCCAACCCTGTCCTGAACAAAGGATGTGACAATTTTTAGTTAACCCTCCTGCTGTCACTGCTGCAGGGCCCACCTCACTGCAGTGGGTGGTCTCTTTGCAGTTCAGTTCCTGGTGGAGTTGGCCTCTTCTCTGAAGTCCTTCAAGAGCTCAGAGTCGAGACCTACTCAGAAGGCCTTTTGTGTTTCCAGTCCTCCCTGGACACAGTGGATGGCCCTTGTATTGATAATGGCTATTTCAAAGGAAAAACTTTGGACTCCCAAGTTGTCGGATAGTAATTGGCCATCTGATCTCTGTTGTAATTTTTACTACCAATGGCTTACCCCTGTCCATTGCAGTGGTATGGACTGATGACAGCATGGTGATGGTGCTGCAGTCCTTCCACATCAAGGCCTCTAACCCCATCTTGTTGCTCCGGTAATTGACATCACCCTTCCTCCTCACACTTACATCATTGTGCATGAACTTCCTGTTCAGACAGGCTGTACCTACTACATTAGTCTTCTGTGAGTGCAACAAATGAAATAAGTGTTGGCGATATATACCGATTGTTCACAAATAATTGGTATTGCTTCCCAAGGAAGTCGCCAAGCTTCGTCAAATGAAGCACTGCTTTAGTGGATGAGAGCAAGGCGCCATGGTTCTGATTGCTCAGTGCAAGAGGTGTTTCCTCAGTATGAATAAAAATTGAACACAAAAGCAATAATAATGTAACTTACCAGTTAGTCTCCTCTACGATTAGATCAAGGAGATCGTTGATGAAGAAATGGTATGCTCAACACATCCATTGTCACCTTGACACCAGGACAGCCCGTGAAACCGACATGCCAAGGGAAGTTGTCCTTTCATCAATAGACAAAATTCCTACTCCCCAGAGAGTTACTCTTCAGTAGTATGTTGGCCATGCTAGAGACGCGACAGTGTAGTGTTAACAAAGATTAATGCAATGGACGGTGCCAAAGCACTTTGACTGGAGGTGTGGATGAATTAGATGGCTGGGGATCATTGTCCTCAGAGAAGGACGTGGAGGGGTGTCTTTGAGTGCTGGCAGAGTGTCATTGTGAAAGCAAGTATTGAATGAGGTGCAAGCACCTCTTTATATGGGAAAATTCTCATGCTTCAACCTGGTGGAGAACATGGAACCAATAGTAGCCAATGAGGGCAAAGCCATCTGGGTCACAGGTCACATAACATGACCAATCACATCATAGCCAGCATACTGACTTCATTGTCTTATTTGACATCATTTACTACTACATGGAAGTAAGATGGCATCTGTAAAGTGACATTACTTCCTCTGTGTGTGTGTGTGTGTGTGTGTGTGTGTGTGTGTGTGTGTGTGTGTGTGTGTGTGTGTGTGTGTGTGTGTGTGTGTGTGTGTGTGTGTGTGTAGACATAACAAATGTCACTGAGGTCCATGCATTATGTCACAAGTGTGAGACACCTGGCAGATGGCTGGAAACAATAGCATCCCATGTATGAGAAGCCTGTCGTTAGTGGGTTAAGGAATCAGGACAGTTGTACAGAATCTGGAAGTATTGTTTGATCTTTATCAAATTAACACTTTCCTCTGTGTACACTGTAGCTTAATTTAGTGTAAAGTAGCAAATGTAAAGAGTAAGAGGTAAACATATTTTCTTATGTGAAGTCATTTACTAGTAATCTTGTTTTTGGAGTTCAAATTGAATTGGAGTTTCATGTAAAATTTAACATTTTACTTATTTTGATCATATGAAATTTTTTTTTAATTATTTTTTTTTAAAGAAGAGGACTCTTTGATGATAAAGACCATTAAGTGTATTCAGGTTTTTCATATAATTTAATAGTCCCTTCTAATTAGCATGGAAAACTAATTATTCTTTTATTTCTAGGTTCACCTCTACACCACAGTGGGAGTAGCATAGAGGGAACAGCTCTCAGTTTAAGTCGTCTACAGCTCCATCCTCCCTCTTCGCCTAGTGGACCTCGCAGCCCCTCTCATCGTCAGTCTCCACCCCTGGTATTGTCTCCACAGCCTTCTTCCCCGACATCCTTGTTAAGTCCTGGTGCTCCGCTATCTCCCCCCCCTCTGGGCCATGTACCTCGGTCTGGGCCCTCCCCTCCTCCGTTGGGACTGGACAGCATAAGGGAGGAGCCTTCAGGAAGGCCTCGCGTACCTCATCGCAACCCAAGCATTGTACATAATTTCACACAAAACCCTCAGATATCCATCACTGACGAGAGCGGAGGTCAGATCATCATTGCTTCATCATCAGATTCGTCCCCAGATATATCAGATGACATGGATTCTTCCCCGTTCCCATCTCCGCTGTCTCCTGACCCTGTGAACATGTTTTCACCACTGTCCTCCCAACGCTTATTCAAAGGTTTAAGTCTTGATTCCTCGCCGTTGCCGTACGCAGGGCAATATGATACGCAAGCACCCTCAATAACTAGAGGAACTGCTGGTTTAATTGCATCACGAAGGTCTCCAGCAGATAATAACAACGTCCATAGAGCTCGTAATGAACGTAACTTGGTTAGACAAAATGCCATAACTGGACCTCCACATCACCACATGCTTATCACTAGCATGGAATATAGGCACAGCTTCCCACCATTTCCTAATGGAGGAACGGGTGAAAGTGACACAGAAATGGCAGATGTAAGTCCATCGGGGGATAGATCACCCCTGGGGGAACACAATATTATAGAACTAGAATTGCCTAAAACAGGAAGTGGCTCTTTCGTGATAACACTACCAAACAAGTGGTCAGGCATGGCTCAGCAAGATTTAGTAGGTAACATAATGGACATGCTTGAAAGACGAGCCCCTTCCATAGTCTCAGAAGGTGTACGAGACTGTGGTCTCTCGGTGCGGGACCCAACTGGGGCCCAGGTGGACTTGGAGGTGCATGAGGGTCCTGCTGCAGACTCTCGTGCTCTTAAATTGAGGAGAGTGTCGGGAGATGATCTTCAGTATAACCAACTCTGCCAACAACTTATAGATTGTATGAAAACCTAGCAGTGACTTTTTATTTACTAAGTGTGATGTGGAATCTTTTATGTATGCTGGTACTTCAGAGTTGAGTGTGTGTGAGATCATCAGAATGTCAGATTAAATAATTGTAGCCATGAGTAGTGCTTGAGGAAAACTTTTTTTTAGCTATGATAATGGACTTCAGACTTATATTTTTTTCTATCTATACAGCACAGAAGCCATAAAGCCAAGATAGTCCTTGTAGGGGCACTGCTCAGGGCCTCAATTTTTTTTTCTTTTTTTCTTTTTTTCTAAATTCCATATTGAATTCTTTATTTGTTGTATTGATTCTTAATTATTCTAAATAGGCAGTGGAGTTGCATTAAAATGTTTTTGGTTAAATAGGCTATTGATGAAGGAAGATTGTTAGCTTTACAGTTGAGGGTGATGATAGTCCTCAGTTAACTGTCTATTTAGTATAATTTATCAGTTATGATTGTGTATGTATGTTGTTATATTATAGAAAGGTATTTCACCTTTAGATGTTAAAATAGTTATTAAGGATTTCTCAGTGTCTTTCAGGATTTACAGCCATTATTTCTTTTTAGAATTGTATTATCTGAAAATGACATTATTGAACTATGGAAGCTGCTGCAGACATTTCTGCATTTCAAGTGCATATTAATCCATTTAATTCTCTACAAGTTGCCTTCTGGACTGCAATCCATTGTTGTGGTTACTCTGCTCTTTATTCATAATTTAGGGTAACAATACTAAACTTATGGCAGAAATACAAAGACTTTATTTTTGAAGCATTACATGATGATGAATAAATGCTTGTGTGGTCTCAATTCTCATTTATGTGGATGATCATTTTACAACAGAAGTACTAGCCTCCTGTCAGTCCAGAATGATGAGCACTCAGGAATTTGTGAGTAGTCACAAAGTGCTTCAATTGTAGAGTTGAAAAGCAAGATGAAAAAGGTCTAGTTCTGCACAATATTGCTGAAACAGTTGAGCAATGATGAGAATCAAAGACGAAGACAAGTCTTTACTGTGTCCAACAACATTTGGTGGCCTTCAAGGAGAAAATCTTAATTGATTATATTTATAAGGGAAGAGAGTGGCTAAGGAAAACTTTGGAACCAACTGCACAAGTGGGAAATAAGAAATTCTTCTTTAGATTTCATTATTATTTTTGTCATCATTATTATGATTGTTATTTCTTAATAATTTTGTGTACAAGTATAATTCTGTGGTTAAAAGGAGGAATTGATCAGATGATATGAAAGAACATGAAATTTGATTTGACTCCGCTTGCCATGATGTACATTTACCAGTTACATGTAATTAACATGCATCTCCGTAAGAGTAAAAAAAAAAAAAAAAAAAAGAAAAAAAAATAGAAGGTGAAGAACTTAGCAAAGGGTCCAAAACTTTTCAAAGGAATATATATTCTAAGGAATGTTTATAATGTTTTCTAGGTAGTGTGCAGTTTAAGAAATATTAATTCTTAAATGAAACAAGTTTATTGCTGGTAAAAAGAGGGTACTATTAAGAAGGTGAGTGCTGTAGTGCTGGACTCTTCTAAATTCAGAAGTAATTGGGACTTATACCAAAGGAGGAACTATATGTATTGCAGGACTCATGCCTCAGTCATGATCAGGAAGGTAATCAATAGTGTGATGAGTAACTGTATATAAAAGAGAGGAGGGAAGGGCAGAGGGAGAATTCATACAATATATAGATTTGAATTGGTAAGGCTGTACTAGGATCTTTTGTTTTGCAATTTTTAAGTCCAGTCTAGTCTGAACTGGATTGGAAGTGGAGTTCCAGTATTGCAAGAAGTGGTCATTATTGTTTTTATTTATTATTAGGTTTTATAGCTGAGTATGAAAAGAAATTGTGAAACAAAGGTTTGATTGCAGTTGAATGATTATTGCCTGACTTTTGCATTTCCTTGATGTGACTATGAATGCCATGCTTTCATTTCCTTGGAAATGACCATAAAGTGCCAACTAAGTGAGCCTCAAAGGTTCAGACTGGCTACAATGTCCATGAACTTTGAAGTGGTTTTGTTAAGCCATTAACCCAACAGAGTCAAAGGTCACCTGCGGCAATAATTCTTCTAAAACGTAACCTTAAATTAAACTTTGATTGTGTTGGGATGATGGTAAACAGCCAAGCAGCACTGATCCTGGCAACCTGTAAAAATTTGGTGCTACTGGTGGAATAAACAATCCCAGGTCTCTGAACACAGAATGCCTTTGGTTAAAATTTACGTCTACCATAGATTGGTGCTCACCTATAAGGCTATACTAGGCTTTAGACTTTCAGCTGTATATGTGTCTTCTTTTTGTCTCATCTTTTTCTGTTTCTATTGGTCTTTTCACTTTTCATTACTTCCATCCTTATCTGTTTCCTTCTCTCACCTTACACCTTCATCCTCTCCTTTTCTCGTTCTTTTCCTCATTTTCCCTTCCCTCCTTTTCTCTTTCCCTCTTTCCCCTTCTCTTCTTTTACCCCTCCTATTCATTCTTTTCCCTCATATCTCTTTCCCTCCCACTCTCTCTCTCCCTCCCTCCCACTCTCCCTCTCCTCTGTCCTTATCTTCTCCCCCCCCCCTCTCTCTCTCTCTCTCTCTCTCTCTCTCTCTCTCTCTCTCTCTCTCTCTCTCTCTCTCTCTCTCTCTCTCTCTCTCTCTCTCTCTCTCTCTCTCTCTCTCTCCCCCCCCCCCCCTCCCCCTCTCTCCCTCTCCCCCCCCCCTCTCCCCCCCCCCCTCTCTCTCTCTCTCTCTCTCTCTCTCTCTCTCTCTCTCTCTCTCTCTCTCTCTCTCTCTCTCTCTCTCTCTCTCTCTCTCTCTCTCTCATAGTATCACAGTTCCACATTCTAATGAGGGAAGTTTTGTGAGAATTTATCCCCATTTTGGACTTTATAAGTAGTGATCAGATGTATTTTAGATCCCTATGAGCAAAGTTGATTTCAAGTTCCATTTTTGGTTTAATAACAGTAACCTTTAAAGTATTCAACACAGTATTAGAATGATTTTATAGATTTGCTTGAATGAGCCCAGTTGTTAATATAAGTATGAATCCTAATTTACTAGCTTGCAAAATAGTTAAATTTAAATTTGGTGATCTTACTATTTATACTAATGATAATATGTGGCAGCAATCATAAAAGTGTTACTTATGAATAGCTTTTGTTAAAAGTGGCCATATATTATGTACTGTTGTATAGAAGTATGATATATTTATGTGTAGTCATAAAATAATGTTTGATGTTATTGTTAAAGTATTTTGCTATTATGGAAAAGTTTTATGTTAGTGAATTTGTTCATATTTATCAATGATTGTGGGCTGGAATTTGTTGAGAAGTTTGGAGACACCATTTAAACATATGACATGAACAAAATACCTTATGGATATAACATTATTTGTAAATTTCACAGTTGAGGGAACAGTTTGATATGCAATATTTTGGGATCCAATAAGATTTGTGAAATTAATTCTAAAACTTTTTTTTAGAGGTAAATGAATTCTTTGTGATGAAGTGGAACCATTGAGGAAGTGATACTTAGATATCATTTGCTTGCTTAGTGATGCTTTTATATAACTGTTTTGGTCCAAATGTTTGATTGATTATGCATAGTTTGACAAGGTTTAAGAAAACTATTAAGTGCCGCAGTGAAATGCCAGAAGAAGGCAATTTCTGTGGCCACAGACCTGAGGATTTTATTGTCTTGTTCTCCTCTAATGCTTGTTCATATGTATGAGCTACTCTTAGTATTTTTTTATGATATGATATTTGATACTACTATCCATATTGTCCAAATCCAATAGTAATGTAATTAGATGTGTTACAGTATTTTTGAAGTTGCATCATATAATGAACATAGCCTTGGTCACGAACTGTAGTCATCGGAGACCCATTTGAATGGGCCATATTTATTCTAGTCATGGAAAGTGTTAAGCAGTTGCATTTGGAAATAAAAACATAATTGTATGAAAATAGAGGAGAAGATTTTACTTGGAAGTTACAGAGTGTAGCATTCCTTCTATTTGGCAGACCATCCTGTGCCATAAAGAGATTCGTGTGAAGTACAGCATGTTTTCCTGAACCATCTGAGATGCCACATTTTATGTCATTCCATCACACTGTAAGTTATCAAATGACCTACACTATCACATTTGTTTTGTCTCACTTCTAATGCTACAGGTTAATGATGTTAGAAGGTTGTTTTTTCCCCATATTGTCTTGCATAAGTTTAGTTGAGTTGAGTTTATCCAGAGCATCAGTTCTTGCCATTTATTGGGTTAGTCATTCCTTTAGGTTTGAACAATATTTTGCAATTGCTTGATTTTTATTTCATAGACGTTTTACCATAAATTCTATTCTTATTATTCTGTTGATATACCATTATAACTGTTTTTATCATTATTATTGATATTTCTTCTGTACAACATCAGCCATTCCATTTCTTTTCTCTACACATGTCAAATTTATTAAGATTACAGAACTTCTCTCACTCTTTACCATTATTCCATTTTCAAATATTATTCCAAAGTTTCATCAGTTAGGTGTCGGAACCACTTAATATTACCTTGTTTATTAAACAGCCCTAAAGTGTGTATGTCAAACTCTACATTCCAGTCACAGTAGATTTTCCTTTAAGTCAAAGATTGAAAGGAGATCACAAGAGGAAAATAAAGAAACTACTGTCTTCTCTGAATTTCATGGCAGTTTGCTCTTTGGTTTTAGTCACTCCTTGTCATTAGCTTTTTTTAAGAGGACCAAGTGCACTTTCTTCTCTGGTGCAGTTTATATTGTTTGGAAATGCCATTTTGAAGTTTTCGAGGTTTTGTTCTATCTTTATTTGACTAAATCTTTTTTCAGTTAGATACATAGAATTCTAAGCTCTCAAATTTTATGGTTTCCTGTATAACAAATTGTACCACATTACATTGCATTTCTTATTCTGTGTGATAAGGCATGGTAAGACTGGAATACTAAGAATCCCTCCACATCATGTGATGAACTCTGTAGCCTTTGGGCTCAAGTTGCCAGCAGCATAGCTATTCCAGAAAGATAAGTCACACACATGTACACAAGCACACATGCTACCACATATGCACACACATGCCATTCACATAAACATTCATATATATATGTATGTATGTATGATATACAGTTCTTTATTTATGCATTAATATGTTTATGGTTGTATGTATAAATTGTATAAATCTATTATTATTATTAATGATTTAATAATTTTGAGAATTACTTGCTTTGAAAATGCACCTGTACTCAGGCTTTTCATTGAAAAAATGAATGTAAAGAAGAGAGAAAGTTGAAACATTTTTGTTAGCATTGACTAATTTGATTTATTAGATATTTAAAAAATTGAGTCAAGCACCAAAGTTTTGTAGATTCCTCTCATGTTGAATTCAAAGGCCAGAAGAATGAAGAGCTGCTTTTCTTGATTGGATATTAGTGAGAATTTGAGCTGACAAATTTATAACTTGGTCAGCTTTGTTTATAGTGCTTATAGATATTTTTCAGTCTTCAAGTTCATGTGGTTGACCTGTTTTAACACAAAAGATGTTGCAATTTACAGCCTTTACATTGTACACAACAGCAGGGCTATTGGTGCATTGCTGGATCTAACAATACTCTTGCATTTAAGGGATTCAGTAATTCATGTTCCTCAAACAGAAGGGAGAAAGCTAATACGAGTAGTAGAGTAATACTAAAAAATAGTGGAAAGGGAATGTGATTCAGTTTCAGTGCTGTTTTTTTTCAAGTTCTTGCTTATTTACATATACATTAAACAGGTATTTTAATCTAGGGCCAATAGGAAGGACTTGCATTGAATAGAAATTATTTACTAGATCTTTCATCAGTTCTAGCAGTTCTTGGTTTTAAGTAACTAATAGAGCCTTTGAGCACATGACATTATTTCTTTTTCATAGCTTGTTTTGTAACAGCTTGTTACTTTTGAAATGTTAAATTGAACAATTTGTTGCTTGTGAAACAACAGTTGCCTTTGGAAAGTAACACTAACTGTTATAGGTATTTTTAGTCATTAATATTTAGTTGATTTTCTAATCTCAATAAAATGTGTCTTCAGCTACACACTAGGTAGTGCTAGAACAACAATTCAGTATTTGGTGCTTAGGTGTCAACTAGTGAATGCTTTGTTATGTCTTTCCAGTTAGAGTTTCTTTGATAGTGATCAGTTTAGAGAGCAGAAGTGTAGTTGAAAGCAGTAAATTGTGATGACAGTGCTTACTTTTATGAGTAAATTTTTTGCCTTACTAGAATATTAACAGATATTTTTTCTTCTTTTATGATTGAGTGAGAATAAATCTATGTAAGTGCAAATGTTAAAGGAAAGAGAAAG